GTAAATGAATTGTAATTAAACGTTGGTTTATGGGATCAAGAGTTGGTGTTTCGTCCATGATTAATGTATGATGTATTTTCGAAGTGTTTTAAACAAGTTGTAGCCATTTTAAAGTTTCATTTAAGCTTCTTTATAACTTCACAAGTGCAGTCTTTGGGAATGCAGGTTTCAAGCTCGGGATCTTCATTTCGGTCAACCAAAATGGGATTCGGTCGACCGAAACAGATTGGTTGGCTCTCGGAATCTCCACTTCGGTCGACCGAAATGGGCTTCGGTCGACTGAAGCATTTTCTTGTTCTCAGGATCTTCATTTCGGACGACCAAAGCTCCACTTCGGTCGACCGAAAAGAAGTTTCATGTTCAAGCTTCCTTCTCCTCTCTTCTACTCTCGGGACCTCTATTTCGGACGACCGAAGCTCCACTTCGGTCGACCGAAATGAGGCAATTTGGTCATCTTCCATTCTTTCTTCCGGTGTTTCTTTGGTTTATGTCGGTTTGGATCATGGGGCATACTGAGAGTGTTTTACAAGCATTGTAATGGTATGTTGACCATAGAAATGTTGTGATGGACCTAGGTAACCTCGGGGTTCGAGTAAGGACCTGTGTAGCGGTTCGGGCCCCCAGGTCAGGGTCGTTACATTTTCACCTAACATAACCCAAAACTGAGAGCTAGAGAGAGAGAGAAGAGACCAAAGAAATCTGAGGTCGGCGGAATGGCTCGGTCTCAGATGATGGCGGCTTGTGCGCAAAGGACTCGGCTGTGATGAAAGCTCGGTTGACTCGACCGTGAACTGTGGAGGCGGCGGCGAGCTCAAAGGGGCTCGGCGGTGAACTGTGGACGGCTGTGTGCTCGAAACACAGACGGCGGTGTGCTCGCCTATGGAGATAGCGGAATGGGCCGGCGAGATTGGAATGGACGGTGGAATGGATCGGCGAGCAAGGTGAGCTGAATTACGAGCAAGGCGGTGAGGGCGATGGGCTGATGCAACGGTGCAGAGAAGTGCGATATATATGGCTGATGGATCTGGCGGGTGGTGCAACGGCTATGATGGAGCTATGACAGGAGACCCACCGATCCCAACAACAAATTCCTCGGCTTCATCGTCCCTTTCAGTCAATCAATTCACGTGGTTGGGGTAAACTGCCATAAAATATATAATTCAAGGGGGTTTTTTGCACATACCCCAATAGTTCAGGGGGGGTTTTTTGCAACTTTTATAGTTCAGGGGGGTTTCTTGCACATACCCCAATAGTTTAGGAGGGTTTTTTTTGCAACTTTTATAGTTCAGGGGGGTTTCTTGTACATACCCCAATAGTTTAAGGGGGTTTAATGCACTTTACCCTTATTATTATTGAGCAATAACATTTTACCCCTAAGATGAAGATTGGTGTAGAGTTTGGACTACAGATTTTAAAAGTGAAACAGAAGTAAGTTGACGGGGTCAGAGATCATATTCAGTCACGGCCATGAGTTTTGCAGGCTTGGAAACACTATATCTAGAATTCAACTAATCCACATTTAACAATATGTATGTTTATAGAGTGGCGTCCTCTATATACCTATATATTCATCTTCGTCCAATTATATGTTGACAACAAAATTTAATTTAAGAGATTAAATTTTTAAAAAAATTACACATAAGGGAGTCTTAAATAACAAAATGATCTATTTTAAAATTTTATTTTTTAAATTTATTAAATTAAATAAAATAATTAAAAATACATCAAAAATTATTATTAAGGTTCAAAATGCCTTCCATTTTCTTATTTCAAAATACCAAAATATCCTCGTTAAAACTCTTCCCACCCTACCAAGTGAGCTCTCCGTCCTTAACCCTTTTTTTTTTAAATTTTAATTTTATTGATTTATTTATTTATTTTTTATCAGTCTTAGTCTTCATCAATTGGGTAGAGGTGTGTGAAGGTGAGTTAGGTTAATTCAGTGGCAGTGGTAGAATTTGGGTAATGGTGCCTTGTCCGGTTGGTGGTTATAGCCACATATTGGATTGTGTGATCAAAGCTACTTGTGTGACTGATTTAGTGTAATGTTAAATATTTATGTGAAATTTGATATTTCACAATCAATTTAACGGCTGAGTCACGAGTTTTGGGGTACATTAATAAATTTTGTTTGTTCATGGACTTTTTAATTCTCCAAGGGTCCGTTTGGTTAGACGGAAAATTTTGATGGAAAGTGAAAGTGAAAGAAAGTGAAGTGAAAGAAAGGAAAATCAAGTTTCCATGATGCATTTGGTTAGCAAGAATTTTTTTGAAGAAAGTTGTGAGAAAATTTTATTTTGATAGTTTGGATAGCATGAAAAGGAAAAGAAAATGATTCCACTTACCGAAAATACCCTTATAATTTTAAATAGTATAAAAATAAATAAATTTGTGTTAGAGGAATAGTATTAGTGAAATATGAAATAGAATAGCATGTGATATCATAATACAATTTTTTTGCATTCTCGTTTATATAATTGTGTGTATATATATATTTACTTGAATTCTCGATCTTTTATTTTTTAAGGTGAGAAAATAAGCTTGTATTCGTTTTCTATATATGTATATATCTAATTTATGTTAATTTTATTTATTTTTTTGTTAAAAATTAAAAGTCATGGATGGATTATGTTAATAAATTTAATTATTTATTCTAAGATAATGTTTGATGCTATTTAGGAAATTTTTTTTTTTTTTTTTTTTTTTCGATTTCTCTATAGTATAATATTTCATACAGTATATAATACTAAAACATTTCCTTGAACAAAAAATAAAAATATTACAAAATAATGATGATACACACCACTAGTAGTAGCTTTCCGTTAATACCAAGTCAAAGGCAAATCATTAACCATAATTTTTGACAATGTCTTTAGTAGACTAAGTAGAAAAAAGGGAATTACATGACCAAATCAAAGGTTCCCAAGTGCTTCAAAAGTATTCATTCAAAGTGCTAACTTAGTTCAATTATTAATCAGTGGTAGAATGACCATTTGGTATCAGTTGTCTAATTAAGAATAAGTATCGCATCTCTGGAGGATAGATTAGAAAGGCTCTCGCTTTGACAGGATCTGCATTCAAGAATTCAAATGAAGTCATTCGGCTACTGAGATCAAGCTCCTCAACATCCATTATAGCCTTATAAAGTTCCGAATAATTTATGCAAGGCTTGCTCTTCTCATATGCATCAGCTAATCTTGCCATGTTATTTGAAATTGCACTCATGGTTTTGGCAACATTATCCATGGTTCGCGGTTTCTTTGAACGACGTTTAGATGAGCTTGAAGTTCCTTGGTTATCTTTACATTTAGTTGGTTGGCTACCTAAAAATAAATAAATAAATAAAATAAAATAAAATAAAATAAAAATTCGATTAGTAATATTAATAGAAGATGTACGTGCAAATAATTAAGGCATTTTAAGTATGGGCCAAAACAAAAGAAAATACCACTCATCATGTTACCTGCATTACCTTGCTCAGTAGCACAATAATTTTCTTCTGCATCACCTAAGTCATCCATGTTAACTTCTTCGTTAAGGTCCACTAATGGTGTATATTCCTCCCCAGTATCATTCATTGGTTTTGACTTCTTAGCATTTATATCTTTGGCTGAATTAGCCCATTCTCCAGTTGCATAATCATTGCCACAAACTATAGTCAATTCATCAAGCATGTCAATTCTCTTACCTTGTAAACCTTTTGCATCGGGATTTGCCTAATTAATGTTTTCAAACAAAAAAAATATATACAAAAGAAAAATATCAATATGAATCCATGTATATCTTTAATAAAAAAAACTAAAGAAAAATATCAATATAAATCCATGTATATCTTTCAATGCTTGCTTTTTAAATATTAGTAGCAACTAATTTATCCTTACAATCATGAGAGACACACATTTAAGAAACTGTTTCATACATAATTGTACTGTAACTATGGTTTGAAATGTGCACAACACAATTTTTTTAATCTTCCAAACAATTACCTACTTTTTGCTTTTATATTCAAGCTCAAGATTTTACACAAGATATGAAATTGTGAAAGTTTTTTTACGAAACTGTTTAATTGCAACTTTCAAGTATCACATCCAGGTAGACTCTTTTTGGTCACTTTAGGAACAAGAAGACAAAGTTTTGCATATGGAAGCACCCTTTCATGAAACTATGGAAAGATAAGATTCAATAAGTTCTTGTTGGGTTGTGCTTAGAATAGTGACTTGCTCATAGTATCTTCAAACTATAAACAGACATATTGCACCTCTTTTCTCCTTTTATTTATTCTCATTTAATTAGTGATGACTAAAGTAAATTGTGACATATATTGCAATAAATAATTAAATTGAAAAACACTACTATGTTCAAAATAGCATGCTATACAAATAAACTAAGAAATATATTATCAATTAAAACTTTACTTTAAACATCTACATACCGCAACATATGTAGTCCAGACTTTGTTGCTGCATTCCACCATTTTCATCACTGGATTCCAAGCAAGTCCACTTTTGCTTAACATTTCCTGAATGAATCTATACTTTTTCTTAATAGTTTTTAAGCGATTAACACAATGCTCTCGATTTAGTGACAAGTGAAATTTTGAATTTAACACTGAACAAGTTGCAGTATAAGCATGATCTTTAAAACCTTTATCTATCTTATAACCCTCGTTAGCTTGATGCACAAGTTCCAAAATAAGACATTGATCCATCTCTTTTGACCATATTACATTATTTCCCTTTTTCTTGGCATCTCCAATGTGACAATTAGACCCGTCTTGCTCCATTCCTAATATAAAATGCTCATAATAATATATTCAATAAGCAATAAATTTATGTTGGAAGAAAAATGACTAGAAAACTACACTTAATATAATCAACAATTAAATACTATGATGATAAAATAAAATAAAAACATAATTACATTCCAATAATAAAATTGTCTAACAATCAGAACCACTCAAGTTTTCAACAAAGAAAAAATACACATCAATAAAAATCCTATCAGCGTCTACTACTAAAATCATTCCACATTTCATTCATTATTTGTGTTCGAATTCTCTTTCCTTCCCTTCCATCTTCAGCCCTAGTCAATTGATTGTCAATAGGATCATGAATAGGAGCTGATTGAGTGCCAATCTCGTGATCAACATCATTTAAAAGTGGATCATCTGGCATCACTCCTCGAATGTGGTTGTGTATTATACAACAAGCAATTACCAACCTCACTTGATTTTCAAAGCCAAACATTGGTTCATCCACTAGGATACGAAAACGTTTTTTTAACACCCCAAAGGCTCATTCAATTGCGTTTCGTAAAGAAGAATGCCTATGGTTGAACAATTCCTTTGGCGTTCTAGGTACACGTCCTCGTATTTCGTTTAGGTGATATCGTGTACTTCTGAATGGGGTAATATAATGTTCCAAAAGAGGAAAGCCTGTATCTACCAAGTAGTATTACCTATACAAATTACAACACGTAATTTTAGTAAATTATTATAAATTTAAAAAATGTTTATGAATACTATTAACTTATATATATACCTGGAGGACATGTAAGTTTATGTCCTCTATGCGTAACACAATGTAAAATTCTAGAATCGGCTGCTGAACATTCCCATCCAGCTAACACATAAGTGAATTTTAAATTAAATGTGCATGCTGCTAATACATTTTGTGAGGGCCATTGTTTTCTACCATGGAATCTTGTTACATATTCAATGGGAACTTTCGCAGGGAGATGTGTACCATCAATTGCTCCCACACAATCCTATAATAAGGGAATGACCTGTGAGTTAAAAAAAACATGTATTCTTAATTAATAAGTTAATTTCTTTTAGTAAGAGAATACCTTAAAATATGGCCACATTCTGTTGTTGTCACGAATCTCATTAGGCGTCTCTGTTCCAAGAGTAGGTTGTTTTAAAAAGTTATCTTCCATGCCTATGATTGCATCTATGATTGTATTGAAATGTCGAGATATGGTTTCACCGGATCGCTTAAAATAAAATTTTGCACTACGATTCTTAACATTGTGAGATACAATGTGTAAAAACATTGTAAGTTGCTCCTCAATACTACAATGCACAGTGTCTTTCAGCCTCCCGGTTCCTTTAAATATATATACAAATCTTTGAAAGGATTCCACATTCATGCGCAATAAGTTATGACAATGTTCATTGGATCGTGTGACATCATTGACAAATTCATGTTGAGTCAAATAACAATTACGTTGTGGCCTCCTATCAAAGTGTGTTAAATAGTATACCCTATGCAAATAAGCTACAATGCCAACAAGCATTGTAACAATGAGATTAAGTTCTTCATCTTGTTCATTATTCATATCCATCTGTCAAGTTTAACAAAATGCGATCATATAAGAACAAATAATTAAAAAAACAAAATTGGCTTACAAGTGATCTGAAATAAGAGATGGCATTTTTGACTTGGTATACACATTTATATTAATATATTACTATGTTCTATCTTCATAAATCCATACATAAAAATATGTATAAAACAAAATGAATATAAACCTAATTTATAGTAAAATTTAATCTGCATACACTATAATCCCTACAAGTGTATCTTTCCCTGTAAAGAATCAATCTATATATGACAATATTGGAAGCTATATTCTAATTAGATGACATATATGAAAATTTAATTTTACAAAATTTGACATCACTAAAAAAAATACCTCTTGAGCTGTAGCTGAGATCTGGAAGAATATATTGTATCCTACAATTACAACATAACAAATTATCATAAACTAAAAATGCAACCCAAAAATAACAGAAGGAAAATATTACAGTAATTTGAAACAACAACTTAAACCAAGCATAAAATTCCATAGGATAGTACTCATCATATCTTTGGCTCATGTCTTGCATTTTCAAGTTTGGAGTAAACTTCAAGTCATGTTACTGTTAAAATGTGGCAAATTCCTCATTTTACCTCAAGAAACCAAATCTATGGTGTATATTACTATCTCATGGGGAGTGATAGTGGTTTTTTGGTAGTATGCATTTCTAAGCTTGATTTGCGATTTAACTGTTTGGTTATCTGAGATGAACATAGTTGCTTATAAAAATTGGAACTCAGTGATGCAATTATGGGAAGATTCAATGTACTGAGGACCTATTGTTCAAGTGACATGGGAAATACAATGAAAAACTTCAGTTCCAAGGGGTGTTTGGTTATCTGAGATGAACACATTTACTTGTAAAAATTTCACACTGAAAATGAATCCCCAAAGTTATTCTAAACATGATCCAAGAAAAGACACACGTAACAAAAGCACTAAGACCACATCCAGAAAACAGAGAAAGTTTACCAAAAAAATATTTCTCAGCAAAATTGTACTAATTGATCACAGCCTATGCACTAAGAGTCTCCATATCCACTACATATAAATTTAAGTATATACAATATTTGATGTTTGTCTAATATTTTTGCGCATATATCGATGAACATGTGTTTCATTTTTTTTACTGATGCAAATTGTCCTACAAATTTGTATGTATTCTTAAAAACGAGAAACATATAACAGAGGAAAAAAAAAAACAGAGCGTATGTGATAACCCTCAAAATTATACTACATATATTTTTATCAAAATATATATAAAATGGAGAAGAAAATAAGATATAATATTATGAAGAAAAAAAGAAAAAATTGACAGGAAGAATCAAAAATACCTCTCTCTACTTTCAAACTACAAATTGTTCTCTCATTTCTTCCATGTTCTTTGCTACCCATCACCATTATAGTATTACCTAAAATCCCCTCTTCCTTCTCAATCCTCATTAAGGCCGACCCAGCGAGTTCACGGAACTAAACCTCAATCTCAAATTCATTATACGATTCAAGCTACTATCATGGGTTAGGGTTCGTTTACAATTCTCACTCTGTGATTCTTGGTGGCGTAGAGAATGGAGGCTTCTCAAGCCTTCGACTTCAAATCTGAACATAAGAGGTCGTTGGGAGTATTTGTAAAGCTAAAGTTTTGGCTTTGGTTGGAACAGAGAGAGAGAGAGGATATGAGCTGAGATGTGAAAGAAATCGAAGTGAGTTTCAAGGCCGGGCGGAGATGTGAAAGTAATCAAAGTGAGTTTCAAGGCCGTTCTAAGCTCGATCTCCTCTAGCCGACAGCCAACAATTCCACCCCCAACCCTAGTTTTCATCTAACGCTTGCTATCAATAGTTATATATATATATATTATGGAAAAAAAATATCTTAAGAATTCATAGCTTCCAAAAATATATATATGAAAGAAAAATAATTCCATAATTAAAGAAAAAAAATAAATGAATTTTGGATGCAGCATAAAAATAGAAACAATTAAATTAGTAATACATGATTGTATAAACAAACAATTTACAGTAGAAGAAACTCACCTATTTACCTTTTTGCAATTTTAGTGAAGAACAACTCTACTTTCCTTTTTAATTAAGTCTGTAATTTAATGAGGAAGAACGAAAGAGAAAACTGATATGGGTATAATAGGAAACTAATGTATTAAAGTGCACAACTTTTGCGGGAAAGTGGATTTTCGTGTGTTTTATGCGCGAAAATTTTTAGATGCGGGAATCCTATTTTTCCCAAAATTATCACTTTCCCTCTAACCAAACATGTAAAAAATTTAAAAATTTTCCTTTCCTTTTCTTTTCTGGTTATTTCACGCTAACCAAACGAACCCCAAGAGATTTTATGCACGATTTTTAGATGAGAGATTTTATGATTTTAACACACGTGTGTGTGTGTGTGTGTGTGTGTATGTGTGTGTGTGTGTGTGTGTGTATGTGTGTGTGTGTGTGTATATATATATATATATATATATATATATTAATGACTGTACAGGCCCACAATGGTCTTAGAACCGAACAAATGCAAATAAGCCCAACCTCACTACATAAGTTGGCATATGGGCCCATCTCACCCTAAAAAAGTTGGGAACTCAACCCAACTTTTAAAAGATTTTACCGTTAGCTTGTGAGAAGACTTTAATTTTGATTCAATCGGAGAAGAGTGGTATTGGTGCGGGAGCAAGATTCAATTGGAGAAGTCTTTAATTTTGATTTTTAAAATCCCTCTCTTATTTTTTGTTTTAGGTTTTGCTTATTTCGACCTAAAATATTTTTTTATTTTTACTTTTTCGATGTTTAGGTAAAAGTCTACGTTGAGATTGAAATTGAGTCCATCGTACTGGGCATGTAAAATAACTTGTCGAAAATTGATGGATAAGTTATTTTTGTTAAATTTAAATATTTTTTTTCTTCATAAATATTCTATGATAAACAAATACTAAAAAACAAAAAAATATTTTCTGACATCCAAACAAATGGAGCCTTAGGCTCCGTTTGTTTCGATGTAAAATATTTTTTTTGTAAAATATTTTTCTTTTTCAGGTAAAATATTTTTTTATTTTTACTTTTTAGTGTTTGGCAAAGGTCTATGTTAAGATTGAAGTCGAGTCTATCGAGCGGAACATGTAAAATAACTTGCTGAAAATTGATGAATGAGTTATTTTTGTTAATTTTTTTTTTTTTTTTTTTTTTTTTTATAAAATATTTACGACAACCAAACACAATAAAAAAAATATATATTTTACATCTAAACAAACGGAACCTTAATGTTGATACCTTTTTAAATTGTTCAATGCTTGGTTTTGGTTCGGCTTTTGTTGAATGTGATGTCATTATTTTTTAAAAATAAAGATTTTAGACACCATGTCTTTTAAGTTGTTTGATGCTTGAGTTAGGTTCAACATACATTGTATGACACCATTATTTTATTTAAAGTGATTAATATTTTTGCGTACTTTGAACAAATTGGTCCATCTTGAATTATGGTAATCAAATGATGCAAAAATATTTATTTATGGAGTATTCGGAGATCCTCACGGTTGTGAGCCACGTCTTACATACCATCTTTTTGGTTCCCTATTAAATGAGCCTATTAATGTTGATGATGGGTATGTAAAGTGGTGATTGTATTAGTTTGTAACCATTGTGGAGCAGTATATAATATATATATTGTAATGACCCGGTCATTTTCTTCCTTTTCCCTTTTTCCTCAAATTTTGCGGATAAATTTTTTCCGTTGTCTTTTCTTTTCTGTGGATGGTTTTTCATCGCTTAGTGTCATCTCAAGTGCTCAGAATTGGTTTCTGAGACTCTTTCATGTGAATTGACAACTTTCTTTGAGGACCGAGTCATTTTCGCATTTTTCGTCTATTTCGTCTTTTCCCTATTTTGTCATTTTCCTTATTTTGTCTTATCTCCGTTTGTCAGTTTTTGGCACAACCTCACTTCTTGTGCTCGGAGTTGGTTTTTTACTTCACATATCCTTATCGTGAGTGGTTTCCACGAAATACGTATCTTTACTTTTGCAAGAAAGTACTCTGGTTACTCCCAGTACCCATAAGGGCATGGATGTATAAATCTTTGGAATTAATTTCATTTCTTAGGGTATTTTTTATAAATATTTTTTGAAGATATTTTATTTCAGAGGTATCTAAGAAAATATCTTTTGGAAGATATTTTCATTCTGGGGCAGTTTCGCAGTTAACCCTTTTTGTAGGGGCCATTGTGCAATTAACGAAAGTTATTGCAAAATGTCTCGTCTGGAACCTGGATCCTCGTACGGGATTCATTTTCACTTTTTGTTGACTTGTAAATTCATAGAATTCCGTTCTGGTCGTTTTTCTCTAGTTTCAGAGTTTCTGGACCTAGTTGCCGCTGAACTTGTTCGGGGCATAACTTTCTGCTCGGGACTCAGTTTTTGACACCGTTTCTTTCGTTGTTCATATTTTCTCATTTTGAATCTTTTTTGTTCATGGAGTTTTTCCGTTTGAGCATGTTTGCTCAAAATCCACTTTTCCGAACCGGCGGGGCCCGTTCGGGGCACTTTTTGTGATTTACTATAAATAGGTGCCTTAAAGAAGAAAAATCAGATTTTCTTCTTCTTCCACATCCCCTTGCACGACCAAAGGCAGCCGTGGATGCCCATGGAGCTGCCATCTTCTCTCTCCTCCTTTAACCTACTTTTCCTAAGTGAAAATCCTTCGGTCTTTGCATTTGTTGCTCGTCTCGTCGTGCTCTACCATTACCCCTTATTAGAAACCATTTCTGACCAAATTTTGAGTTTGGGATTTAGGCCAAGTTTGAATTTTCATGGGGCTTCTTGGAGATTCATATAGATCGTGTTGTCCCCGACAAAACCTAGGAGTTTTGTTGGATTCGAAGCCGTTTCGTTTTGATGGCTTTTGAGATTTTCATCTCAAATTGAGGTAGGGGGTGTCTTAGAATTATATTTGTGTTGTATTGATGATTATATATGCTTATACAACTTGTATGCATGTTTTGTATAAATCTTGAAATTTAATTTTAATTAATTTCTTTGTAAATGATTTAATGCTCAAGGATATGTATGACTTGGAATTGAATTATAACATGCTAAGAAATTATACTTGGATATGTTGGTTAATATATATTAAATTTGGCTCATTTAATTAAGAATTACAACTTTTATTTAATATTTATCTTTAGTGAAAGTTTAATTCACATAGTTGTATCAAGCATGAAATCAAGTTGTAATGTGGTATTTAAATAGGCCTTGGCATGTTCTCTAACATAGATTAAATTGAGGGCATTTGGAATTATTTAAAGATCTAGAAGAAATTAATTAATTAACTTGATTAATTTTGTTTTAAGTGCTTTAATCACTTAAATTGTCATTTGATGTTATATATGTGATGACCATGACATGTCCTTCAATATATATTAAATTGAGGTTATTTGGGATTAACTTGAAATTTGGAGAATTTAACTATTTATGTCTAATTAAATTCTATTTTATTACTCTATGGATTTAATTACATTTTGGAAGTTGTTATTATATTTAAATCATGAATTTGGATTTGGTGTATGTTCACTTGATTACTTTTGAGTATTGGATAACATAGTTGTTACTTTTATATTAATGAGAATATGTTTTTCTTATTGAATATATTGTTACTATGTGTGAGGAATTGCACACTTTGTATTTGACATCTTTCATGACATAGTAGTTATAGACTTTGAGCATGTATTGTATATGTTTCCAAAATTTGGGTTGTGCTTAGTAAATGGTTGATATCTTGTATATAAATGTTGATATATATACGTTGTTGCACAATTTGTTGATTTTGGAAACTTGGGGATGTCGTTGTTGGCTACGGCTAGGACTTGGTTCTAGTACGGGGGATTGTCCCTCTATATAGTCTAGTGCGCACATAGGGAAGTTACCCATGGGCTAGTAACCCTAAAGTAACTATGTTGTCGGTTTGATCCGGCGTGACGTCCGAGTATTCACTTTGTTTGATTTCGTATTTCATTTCAAGTTGATAACTAGATGATATCGTAACTTGTGGTTCCTTATTTGATTTTCTATTTTGAGCTTAAGATGTAACTTTGTGAAAGCATGCTTTGTGCGTTGTATTGGAAGTTCCATTGTCGGTTAAATTGCATTGATATCATAAATTGTATTTTGATATTCAAATGTAGTTTAGGAATGATCCTATAGATTCATTTTGAACATAGACGTTAGGTGGCATGACCCACTCTTGTTGTTTTCGTATTTTGGATTTCAAGTTGAAGACTTTGAGAATCTATATCTAGTTGCTTTGTATAACATGTTTCCATGTTGTTTGAATTGCATGGACAATGTGACTATGCTAGAAATGATCTAGGTAGTTTAGGATGATCCTTGAGTCTCACTTGAC